AACTGTATACTACAACTCTTCCTTAGGCCTACACACAGAAGTCCCACTGAAGAGAAACCCTGTGAGTGCAGTGAGTGGAAAGACCTTCACCCATCATTCCAGCTTTTTCCAGGGTGGTGTGGCACACGCTGAAGCCTCCTTAGTGGAAGAAATATGGGAAAGGCCTTTTCTCCAGCTGCTCCCTCGCTCAACACTCAGGAGTCACATAGGAGAGAAGCTCTATAAGGGCAATGAATGTAGAAAAGCCTTGGCCTGTGGCTTTGCTTTTGTGTCCAGCATAATAAGATCCATAATAATGAAAAAAAATGTTTAGATGCAAATGATACAGGAAAACTTTCTGTGACGGATTTTCTTTTCCTTGGCACATAAGGAGTCACACTGAAGAGAAACACTCTGAATGCTGTGGATGTAGAAAATCCCTGACCTACACATCAGGCAGTTTGTTTTGTTTTGTTTTTGGTATCGGGGATTGAACTTGGGTCCTTGTGCTTGCGAGGCAGGTGGCAGAACCAGAGCTAAACCCCTGGCAACTCAGGCAGTTTTGACGAACTCATACCTGAGTGGAACTTGAGCGTCAGCCATGTACAAGGCCCTTCTTCTGCAAGTCGGCCCACCTCGGTTGACCTCAAAGAACTTATGTTGGACTATAGCTAGCGAGGAAAATCTTTTTCCACAGGAAACCCCTTACTCACAACCTCAGAATTCAACCAGGAGGAAGAAGTATTTGTTATTGCACGTTTTAAAGAACCTTCAGACACAGCTGTCCCTATAGGTTTTATCACTAAGCCATCTCAGGATATAATGTTTTTAAAGAGCAAAGAAGAGAGATGTAGAAAAGAAAAAAATGCCTACACATTTCTGTCTCACCTCTCTGAAGTCCAAGCCTGTACAATTTTGAATTGTATTCTTTACCTGGGGAATGTCTGAAAGGTAAAAGGACCTTACCTATTTATTTTCTCTTTATGTATTCACTGCTGTTGAGGGCAGCTCTGTAAAGATGTATTGAAAGCATTTTTTTTGCTACAAAATATTGTCTGTACTCTTGGGGAGTGTATGTCTTTGTGAGAACTATGAAAGCTTAAGTCATGAAATACTTGAAACTTGCAAGATATTAGAATATAAAAATGCTGCTGAATAAAATTATTTTATTTCCTAGGAGATAAGGACCTACATACAAAAGAGCACATTTTACTGCATTATCTAAGCTTATGTAACTCTTTAATTTCAGGGAAAAAAACTCTCTTTTTATGCTCTTAAACACTCAGCCTTCTCATTTCTTTCTTGACCTTGATATATTTGTTTCTTCAGACTCATTTTCTCAGGAACATGAGGGTGCTGGTGTAGCTCTGTGGCTTTCCCCAATGAGCTTCAACTCTTCCTTTGATGGTTTCTCCAGTTCTTTAGTTCTTGTAGAAACACTTCTCCCAGACCGTATCACCAGTACTCTAGGAGTTAAACAGGATAAAACAAAGTAAAACACAGCTAAGTTTAATTCAAAACCCCATAAATTTTAATTGAAAAAAATGAGGACAGTGTACTAAAATGTAAAACATGTAGATCCTTTGATAAATCAATCAAATTTCCAGAAATCTATCCTAGAGAAATATTCCCACGAGTATGTACAAATATGTACAAAGAATAATCACTGTGATTTTATGTTTTTTGTGAGACATGGAAAACAACTTAAATGTCCATCAGACATTGTAGTCCACCAGAAATTGTAGTATATCTGTTCCATGAAATACTGTGCAATGATAAGATAGTTCTGTAAGTCTTGAGGTTAAAACATCCCCAAGATACAGTATTAGATAAAAGAATAAATGAATTCAGATATGGAAGGATTCATGTAAAACTGTTCATAGTGGCCATGAGAAAGGAGATGCAGCAGAGTTATAGGCAACTTTCAGTTTTTACTTTATATTCTTCAGTGCTGTTTGCTTTTTAAATAAAGAGCACACATTATTTTTGTAACAATGCCCCAATATAAGTGGATTCTTCCCATTTGGGACCAGTTCCTGAAACTGAACTCTTAATGAAAAGTGAGAAAACCTTACTGGCTCAGACAGAGAACAAACTTCTTGAGGCCATCTCCTTCCTCCAAGTCATCGGGCAGTGTCCTCTGGCCAAACAGGTGGAAGCTGAGCAGTAGGAAAGATGAATACAGCATCTTAGTGGTTTTGAAATTCTGCCTGCAATCTTAGAAGGAAGCTGACCAACCTGAGACATATGGACAGTAAGCCTATAGCCAGGGGTGGTAGTGGTCAATGGACCCACAATTTCTTAGGTAGTTGTAACTGTCACTCAAGAAATTGATATTCTAAGAGACCCCAAGTTGGATCTCACTGTGATTTTGCAATGACTTGGATTTCTTAGAGTGCCCTTATAGTAGGAAAATAAATATGGAATTTTTCAAGGCAAAATTCAACTGCAGTGCACAGCAGTGCAAAGTAACTGCACTGGATGATAAAACTGACGAGACTTTATTTCTGTGACTGTTCAACTTAACTGCCAACTTCACTGGAATAAAAAAATCCTAGGAAGGTGATGGGATCAAGGTGGCCTGTATTCTATACTATACACTGTACTATACTGTGGATTATACTGTGTCCACAGACGTTCACAGCTGAAAGTACTGTGAGGAGGTGGGGCTGGGTTGGAGGAGGGTCCCTGGAATCTGCCTCTGAAGAACATATCTCTTGCTGGCCCTGTCCCCCTGCTCTGACTCTCAGTTGCCATGAGGTGAGCTTTGCACCACCACCCTCTTTGGCCATATGACCCTGCCTTGGAGGTGCTTGGTATCATCAGGGTTCTGAATCTGAAGATTCCTGCATTTCTTACATTTAAAATTTTTTCATCCATTTAAACTGTGGATACACATCTCATTAACTCTCTTACTTTCTATAGATATGTATCTCCTCACTGTATCTTACCTTTCTCTTAACTTACCTTCCATATTTTCAATCCTTTTTGTCTCTCCATGCATCAGAGTAATCACTTCATATCTATCTTCTAGCTCATGAACTCTTTCATTAACTGAAACTTTTAAATGCCAGAGAGTATATTTTTCATTTCATTTCTAATTGGTTCTTTGTTTAAATTTACTAGCTAGCTTCTTATACCCTTTTATATTTTGCATTCAACATTTCTAATATCTGAAGTTTTTCAGGTCTGATTCTGCTTCTTGATATTTCTTTTGATTTCTTCTTGTGACATCTTGTTTCCTCATTTATTTTGTGATTTTTCACTTGCTGCTAATGTTAATTGGAATTATATGCTAGAAATTCTTTGAGGCTTGGAATCAACATGCATACCTCCAGGGAGGACTTGTGTTTGCTCCTACCAGGCATCTGGAGACACTACAACCAGAATATTTAAAATTCTTGATTTGTGATTTCTCAGCTCATAATAGTTATGGGAAGTCTAGCCTTAAATTCAGTGAGAGTGACTTACTCTTACTAATTTCTCAGGAGAAATTTATCCTTCCCAACATCCGAAGGATGAGACAGACAATATATTTAGTACACTTCCTTTGAGGGCCACCCCCCCATTTTTTCTTTACACCATGGGTGGCACCATTAGGAGCACTGGCTTTAGAACAAAAGTCTTTGATTCTACCTTGCTCAGAACCTGAGATTTGTCTCTTCTCTTCCGAATATGGCTTTCCCTTTTTTTTTTTTTTTTCTTTTTT